ATCCAATCATCAAGAATTGATCAAATTTGGATATCACCATCATTATCACTTACACCAATCTCATTCAAAACAATTGATATTACTCCATTTTACAATGCTGATCATAAATTAATTATATGTTCATTTGAGATATCTAACTTAACTTCACAACCAACAACACATTCCATAAAAACCAATACATGTTCACGACAAATATTTAATTATTCAGCAACTACTTTTGAACAATGGACAAAGTTTGCAAACAAAATAGACCTAATGATTGAAAAATCAAAATTAAAATTTCTAATTCAACAGCCCAAATCTTTGAACAACATAAATTCAATTTGGCAAGAATTCTCCAAAATCATTATATCTGCAGCAAATGAAACCCTCCCTACAAAAAAAGTTTCACCACATGCTACTCCTCACCGACCATTAGTCAACACCTCATTATTCAAACAACATCGTAAAATCACACATCTCCTTTCTTCATTACATTCATTTAAACAATCTACTCCATTGCCAATAAAATGGCATACAACATTTTGCTCAATTAAAACCATTGCTTCCTTACATAACTACACATTCCCTAGCTTTATACTTTTCAACACAGAAGTTCTTGAAAATATTATAAATTTGACTAAAACTTTTGAACATTCACTTCGACAAATCTGTCTCATAAAAGAACGGGACTTCATCAACAAACAAATCACTGAAAATATCAAAAAACGTTGTAATAACATGAAAGACAACCTCTCAAGTATGCTCTCATCAATTCTTGAAAAACCTTACAGACGTATTGACCTTAACAAAATCTTGATTACTCTACCTGATGGATCTCAACATATATCCTCAGATCCAGACACTGTGAAATCTCATACAAGAATTCACTTCTCAAATATTTCTAGCACAGCAAATAATCCACCTCCTAATAACTTATGGAATGAGTGGGCTCATGTCTATCAACCCCTAAACTACATCAAACCTGAATGGTATGACTCCATACTATCACCTATTACAAAAACTGAATTATTAAATAACATATCAGATCTCCCTTTAAAAAAAGGTGCTGGACCATCATCAATCTCAAATGAAATGCTAAAACATCTGAGTCCAGATACCATAGAAATTTTGCTTTCACTATTCAACAGATGCATATCCACATCTCATATTCCATCAGCTTGGAAACATGCCAATGTTTATCCCATACCAAAACCCAAAGAATGGCATTATCAACTCACACACACT